TGTGGAGCACAAAATAAAAACTGGACTTTATACACAGCACTGGTTGCTACGGTGAACAACACAAACGCTCTACAGCAGATAAGTTTAAAATATTTGGAATCCGGGCATACATTCATGAGCTGTGACAGCTTTCATGCCAAGGTAGAGAAGGAAATGAAGCGGCATGGTAAAGTGTTTGACTCCACAGACTTTGAGTCTGTGATCAATGCATGTGGACGAGCAGCACCAATGAAGTATAGCGATTTTAAGAATTACGAACACTGCATAAGCACTGTTGCGTACACCAACAAGCCAAAACTAGCAAATGTAAAAGAAGTACTATTCACAAGGGGAGAAACTGCAATCAAGTGGAAAGAATCTCATCTTGACACAGAATATAAGCATGGTGAATTTTTGAAAAAGAAAGCAATAGAAAACATACTAAACAAGAAGAAATTTGATCAAAGGCAAGTACCAAGAGGAATCGCTCAAGACAAAAAAGACGGCATTGTGCGAAACCTTGTTAAATTAATGCCAGAGAACAGACAAACTTTCTGGAACAATATCCCAACAGACGCAGTAGCAGATCTGATTGTTAACATAGAATAATATGATATACAATACAGAGTAATGCACAAAACAAGTAAAAAAATTAATTAGTATCATACTTTTAAAATATGTCATTATTTCTTATTCACAGTTAAATACTTTTTCATATTCTCCTCTAATCATAAAATATATTGTAGTATTTACCATTTAAATTACATGGTACAGTCCTGTATTCCTTTTTGGCTAACCACAACTAGCCTAGACTAGGCCTAGCTCACACCTAGCCGAACAGGCACAGGCAGTTAAATTGGGTTTGAACGCCTTGTACAGTGTTGGAAAAAATGACCTAGGGGGCCTAGCTATAAAAAATATCACTTGTTAAATTAATGCCAGAAAACAGACAACATTCTGGAATAATATCCCAACAGATGCAGTGGCAGATCGATTGTTAACACAGAATAATATAATATACAATACAGAGTAATGCGCAAACAGGTCAAAAAATTAATAAGTATCATATGTCATTATTTCTTATTCACAGTTAAATTCTTTTTTTATATTCTCCTCTAATCATAAAATATATTGTAGTATTTACCATTTAAATTACATAGCACTGTCCTGTATTCCTTATTGGCTAATTGATAATTAATGATGAGTAATTAGCTTATAATATTTCAGACAGAGTTTTTTGTAATGAAAACAGTTTTTTATATTGAATTTTTATTACTCTTCAGTTGAAATGACCAAGTTAGACATGGGAAATAATTAGTTTTAAAGTATTATTGAAGGTTATTTTATCCAATTATTTGGGTCCATCAAAATATAGAATTTTGCACATAGGCCATGTTAGGCAACTTAGCAGCTTCAGCAACAGTTTTTAAATAGTATTCTTATAAAATTATGTCTTTTACTGAATTTCTAGATTCCAGTACAATATAATAATAATAAAATCAATAATAATAATAATAAAAATAAAGTAATAATAGGCCAGGCTATTAAAAAATAAAACAAAAAACAAACTTGAGCTCAAATACCATAATTTCATGACATTTTTGTCATACTACAAAATAGTTATCAACTTAAAAACACAATATATAAATATATTATTATTATTATTATTATATTTGTTTTACAGATTTATGGAAAAACATAAAAATGTTTTATCAACACTCTGTAGAGTGTGTGGCACGAAACTTAACAAAGATGGTGGAAGGAGTAAAGATGTGAACAAATACTGGCTACAACTTGGTGTTAGCAGAGGCAGTGATTTAAACAGATATCCTCAATCATTCTGTAATCTCTGCTACATTAAGCTTGTAGTCCAGAAAAAAAATGTTCAACTGAAGGAATGGCCTGCACATAGGCGAGTCAGAACGTGCGAGGTTTGCAATGACATATTTAAAAAAGGTTGTCATATTTTTTTTTTCATTTTAAATAATTAAAAAATATTAAAAAATCTTTATCTTAATAAATTATTTAAATAGCTTATCAACAAAATATTAATGAAACATTTGTAATCCTCCATGCATGATATATACCATAGAAATTGTTGAAATAATTTTACAATGAAAAAATATATAATTTTTTAATACTAAATTGGCACACTATTACAAGTTCAAACATTCCTTTGCATTTTTATTTTATAATGTTTATACCTTGGTAAATTTTAATTAATAATGATGTTTGAATATTGTTTTCACATAGGTGGGCGGCCAAAAAAAATGAAGAGAAGTTTAGGAGCACCAGAGTGCAAGAGAAGGATGGCACATACATCATCAGTTGCCACACATTTCTCCTCAATTGATACCTTGATACCATGCTTATGAACATTCCAGATTCCTACACCATCATTGGTTCTTTGAGTCCATTCATGTGTTGTGTTTGTAATGAAGTGTGTGTATGTCCTGTTGAGTTACTGTGTCACCATGTTGCTTGCAAAGCGTGTGTTCAGTCATTTTTTGTAGATAAATGATGTAATGTCGTGTCCGTCTTGTTCAGTTGAATCACATTACGAGTCTGTCACTGCTGTACCTGATCTGTTTGTACAATGTTACATGTCAGTTATTGTAAAATGTAATACGTGTCAATGTCAGTTGCAATGTCAACAATGTAACACACATGTATGTGTCTTACAACAAGAACACACTTATGCTAAACAACATACCAACGATTCCTTTCAAGCCATCCTTCAACAGCCTCTGGATGCTTCTATCACAAGTGAGATGGAAAATTTAGGTCACCATCTCATGCAACAAAAATCGAGGAAATCAAAAGATGGGGTGGTGACATTTATATCAGGGGGAAAGGTAATGTAACTTCTTTCATGTTTCCACGAAGCAAAAGCAAATGGAATTAAAAGAAGCAAATGTAAGATCGGGCACTCACTGTGCTTGACGGTCGTCAGCAGATGTGATTCTATGAAGAACGCAATGCGACGATGTGCGCACAACGGATCATTTTTAATGACGATCCGTTCAGACTGTTACCGACAATCAGCAGACGGCGTTGCTTCGTTAATCGCTAACACGTAGTGGAGTTGGATTTGTCGTGCGAAGGTCGTATGACACAGTGAGTGCCCGGCTTAACACTATAGTACTTAATTTTTATAATGGAATTTTTATAATTTTATAAATTAAATTCCTTCTTTCAGACAATCAAATATTTAAAAATTCCAAATGTGAGAGTAGAATCAGATGCAGCATCGAAAAAAACTAAAGACTGTTTTCTGTTATATATTTTATGCAGTATAAGTTAATTTTTTTAATTTCCATAAAATATTGGGTTTTTTTTTCCTTCTCAGGTCAAGAAATTCCGTTCGATGATTAGCGGATCCGAAGAAGCAACCAATGAGCAATATCACCTTGAAATTTCGGGTCTGCAATGCGAACTAAAAGACATACTTCGTACCCCCTTTCGGATGCCACATGGTGACATCATCTACATTTGGGTCTGAGTGGAACAAGAACGAGAGTATTGAAAAGGTAAGCAAGTGAACATAAGTGCTTAAAAAAAAATTTGCTCAGCGATACATTACAGAATTTTATATTCATCCAGTTTTATATTTTGATTCTACTAGATGGTTAGCAAAATATCAGATACAATGCGAGAGTGAGGCCAGCATCCACAGACAGGAGAGCCGAGTAATCAATGACAACTTGCTAAAAGAATATCTCCCCCTTTTGGTAAAGGACAAGAAAACAGAAGAAATGCTATTGACTAATGTCCCACTTGTAGTTGTTAAAAATTTGGCAGAAAAAGTTCGGGAAACCTCAAATCGATGATGTGGAAGTAGGTATAAATTACTGCAATAAAATTGCAATTTAATTTGATCAAATAAATTTAAACATGGTGATTAAACTAAGTACCTGTAAATTAAGTTAATTTACTTGATTTAACACGTTATAATACTCTTTGTCAGTGGGAAAGAAATGCACCTGTTTGCGTTTGGAGACTATGAATACGAATGTCGTATTTACGGATTATCAGGAGCAAGTGGTCAGTACTGCACTTTAAAAAAAGTCAAATCCATGAAAAGTGTTTCTTAAATAATTGGATATTGTACATTCTCCCATGTCAAATTTTTGACAGCATTATTCCATAATATTTGATATTACCTGTATGCTAGTTGATTGTATATTTTGTAGTCATCATGCAGATAACACATTTTTATTAACTATTATTAAAACATAATTTATTGCATAAATGCATTTAATAAATTATATATTATCAACACTGTCTTCACGTTATTTTCTAATTTGACTGTAGGTCGTCACTTTTGCCTTTATTGCTTGGCAACCAAGACACAAGATGGTGAAGAGAGGACACTGGCCACAATCAAACAAGACCTCAAAAAATTTAATGAAGCAGGGAGCAATATCAAAAATGCCAAAAATTTTAACAATGTAATCAATGACCCCATTTTAGACATTGAACTAGATCATGTTAAGTCAATGAAACTTTGTTTATATTTACATGCAGTACCGTACTATTCTCAAACATACTTTTCAGTACTCACTTTTTTTACAGGTTTGTCCACCTGCCCTGCATATTAGTTTAGGTCTTGGCCTCAAGCATTATCAGAGTTTGGAGGATGCATGTCACAAATTAGATATCCAAATGGCTGTGCAAGGGGTAGAGACCAAGGATGCCCGAAAGGAGTACCTAAAGGTTCACTGTTTATTCATTCTGCTTGTTGTTGATTTGTGCTTTCAGTGCTGTCTGTCTATCTGTTTGAAATTTATGGTTATCAAATTTGAAATTGCCATCATCATATCAAATCTGTATTATATATTATTATTATTGTGTGTTGTACTTCAGGTAGTTGAACACAATGAAAACTTACGCTTTCACCTGGAAGCAAGGGAGAAAATCCAAGCAGAAATAAGCTGTCTCCAGGACTATCTTAATGTATTTATTTTACTGGGACATCAAGATGATGAAGCTGCAACAGAATTGATCGACCAAATAAATGGCAAAATCAACCAATTGAATGCCCAAGTAAGTAATAAACCCCCTTTTTTTTTTGACGATTTTAGTTTTGGGCTGAAAAAAAAATCAGAAACCAATATTTTGATTATAGTTAATACAGTATTTTTTTCATGTTCTACTGTCTGTAGAATGTAGAGGCCACAGACTCGCCGACATTCTTAAAAAGAACTGGGCTAATTTGCAACGAACTTGAGCGCAGACTAAAAAAGATTGGAATCACAAGACAGGCATACTGGGGACAATGTTTTGTTGGAAACCACATCCACAAATTATACATGGTAACTATTTTCTTTTCACTCTGATTATTAATATTGTACATGTGCACAAATAAAACACATGCACATTTATTAGAAATTACTTATCATTTCAGACCCAAAACATTCAGTTCCTCATGACTGGTATAATAAAGAAAGTAAATGAGTTTTGCCCTGCAATGAACAATGCTGCAGAAATTGTAGCAGACAAATATGGGAAACTCTTCAATGCATTTGGATCTTGCCATAGGCTCTACAATTCTGCAAATTACTTCACTGATGCAGAAATTAACCAATTAGTTAAGGTGCATTGCTTTTACTGTACATTGTACAATACATTTTTTTTTACCAATTAAAACAAAACAAAAAAACAGAAACTTTTAATTTATTATTTTCATTTTAATAAAACACAGAAATCAACATCTCTACATACTGTGAAACTTTTGACCAATTTAACGAAACAAAGCCTCCAAAGTTACACATTCTGAAAAATCACATAGCCGCATCCCACTCTCCACCGTCTTATCCATGGAGGTGAGAGTATGCATGCTCGTTTAAATACCATCCAAAGAGAAATTTTCGAGGCAGGACCACCGATCGCCTTGAGCTGCTTTTCTCTGTCATGAAGAGTCACTGGGTTTCCTGTAGCCCACTTACCCTACGGGCAAG